TATTGGATTTACATTGGGCCGTACTGATTTCCCACTGGTCTTTTTAACTTTCAACACGCAGTGCAACGCTTCACTTGTTTTTGTTCCACGCATACCTCTGAGAAACGCATGGCTACCTTCAGAGAGTCTGAGAGAAACAGTTTTTTGCTGACAAACTCCCTGTCACATGGCCCAATGGAAAAATACTTTATTTTTAATCACCATATGGTGACAATTAGGTGAAGAAAAAAATGAATTGGCAGTTACATTGCTTGAATTTGAGAGGTCTCAAGCATCAGATATGTCAGAAGATGCTTAAAGGATGGAGTGGTGTTGCTTCAAACAGTGGTGGTGAGATTTGTAGCCACACAAAACTCTGGAAATGTGAGAGAGAGATCTCAGCAAAGCAAGACTTGGGAGAGATATTGTCCCGGCTAGAAAAAAGAAAAATATTTCTGAAAGGAAGTCTATTTGCAAAGATGTTTTCTCTTTTTTTCCATTGTAACTTTTAGGCTAAGAAATATACCACTTCTTATAAGCCTTATTTCTCAGAAAGCTCTTTGGCAGGCATATCTTAGATCTATATCGTGGTGAATAAAGAGACATCTCTGTAGGCATAACAATGTTTAAGGGACCAAGTATAAAATAGTTCAGGTCCAATACAAGTCCTTCCTTTGCTAACTTCACCCAGGAATTTCAGTATGGACTTTGGACTAAGCAAAAATATCAGAACTCACTCTTTTCTAAACAACCATCTCTTTCTTTAAAGGTTACAATAAAAATTACATTCAGGCATCTTTTACCATGCATGCGGAATGTCTTCAACAAAACTCATGAGAGGAAAAGTACATATTTGCAAATGGTAAAAGAATAAAAGCAGTTTTTAGTAAATTTTTTACGTATTAATTGGAAGATTTCTTCCCCCTCATCTTCTCCCCATTTTTCGCAGCATGTGCCCCGCAGTCAGGATTCTGCACCCAAATCATTTTCTTTGCATACATGCAGGGAGCAACAAAAAGACCACAGGTGTTGTAAAAACATAAAATAAGAAAGGAACTCCATAGTCAAAGTGTTTACCTTTATACTGCTGAATAAAAACAGGCCATGTAATATCTAAGACATCTTCTGCATCACAGTAATTTATTTTATTGACTTTTCAGGCAGGTTTCCTTTAACAATGACATAGCATTTTGTTTCCTCTGCTTTTTTTATCCACACTGAATAATGAAAAAGCCAGTTCTGGGGCTCAGCATCACCCTTCTTGATTTGTAAAAGGATGCATGGCTCACAAGCCTGAAGTATAACATGCCTTACTGTGAGGCACCTTGGTGACTGTGGGATTAGCTGCTGTCTGCCTTCTGGAGGCTGGTGAGTGCCTTGCACAAACACATGCTGGACCTTTCATCCTTTGCCCATCATTCCCTTATGCAGGTGTATGGGGTGACAGATCAGCATGTAGGTCCTGCACAGCTTCACCAGTGAGGCATGGAGAGGGGAAGGGGAACGACAGTTCAGGGACCTTTGCAACAAAACTGCCTGTCACAACATCTGGCCCACTGTAGGTGTCCCTGAGCACAAGGCATTCAATCTTCTAACAAAAACATGGCTAGAAGCAGCAATTAGACCTTTGTATCCTTGCATTCCCCACCACAGATTCAGCACATGCCTTTACCTGTGGCTTCAGTGCCCCCTACAAGGATGTCCCTCTGGATTTTTCCATCATCTTCATCTAAAGCAAACCAGCGCCCAACTGGGAATTGGTACACGCATTTATTGCCAATGTCTTCAATGATCACCTAAGAGAAAAGAAACAGCACTTTGCAAAATACATGTGGAAAAAACAAAGGTGTTAGACACAGAGACAAAGGTGTTAGACAAAGAGGTGACAGAAGAGCAGGAGCTCGATGTACACGCTCTCACCTGACATTTAATATATTCAACACTCAGGCAGATCCCTCACCACTCCCTAATTAGCACAGATAGAATTTCAGACAATCAGTGAGTAAAAAACAGGCACTTTTCTTTTTTCTTTCCTTTTTTTTTTTTTTTTTTTTTTCCCTCCAGTGAACTCAATCAGCATCTCTCACAGTGTAAGAGACCAGATGTCTCTGCTAGCAAGACCAGCTGGCTGGCCTGTCTTCCTTCTCTCCAGAGCCCCTTTGCTGGCTACTCTTCTCCAGCAGCTGAATGGCAGCTCTTTGTTCTGCTTTGGGAACAGGCTGTCTCCGTTCTCTCTCAGCTTCAGAGCCTTGTTATGAAATAATACCAAGGAATTTTAGGACAAATCAAGACCGTTGGATCAGCTTGTGTGACCTAGTAATACCTTCTTATCCCACTCAGTGACTCTGAGATGGAAACACTTGCAAAGACAGCCTTGAAACCCTGGGGTAGAAATAGTTTCTCGTTTGGAAGAATTTGTCTCTGGGCTGTACTCTAGAGATATATTCTGCTGCAACAAGGCAGGGAACAATCTTCCTCCTTAATATTAGATTAAGCCAGTGTTAACCACTTGGAGTTTCTTGCACATCCTGCTGCAAGGCATTTCTTACCACCATTCCTGAAGCTTGCCATAGAGTTGCTGCAGTATTCTTTTGATTTCTAATTTTGATTTCACAGTGAAGAGCAAAGAGTACTGAAGATTTTCAGCCGGAAAAGAAGAAATTAAAATCTCTATTTACCTGTATGGCTTATGTCTCAGAGAACAAAAAATCACTATTAGGGATAGAAAGTCAATACCTTTTTTTTTTTTTTTTTTTTTTCACCCCTCCCTTAAGAGCAAAAAGGGAGAATCTGAAATCTGTTCTTCCTGATAGACTTGTGAGACCATTCTTTGGGAACCAGTTTCCTGTTCTGTCTCTCATCCCACACTGTACTATTGCCTGTAGCATCACAGGCTCTTGATGCACCTCCATAGACGTGGACAGTAGTGTCTGCTGGGGTACTAGCTCATTCTCTTGGGATTTCAGTTAAACGATTAGTTCTTTTCATTCATTTATTTAGAAAAACAGCACTGAGTATAAGCTACACAGAAAGCACAAGAAAAATGAGAGGAACCTCTAATGATGCTTAGCAAGTTCATCCAGGAGTGACAATGCTAGAGTCCCCAGTATTAGAGCATGTTAGAATAAAAATATCAACCAACGGTAGAAAATAATGGAGTTATGGTTTAGCTTCTTCCTCCAAACTTCCAGCTAAATTTGTAAAACAAAAGCTGCCTTTTACTTAATTACAAACATTTCAGAGGTTTTGTTGCAGAACATGGGATAACCCCTTGGCTGCAGCTAGTCACTGCTTTGGGTGATGGGACTTAACCTACCTAACCAACATCGAAAATCATATCATGCAGACCACACCTGTTCTGTGAGAATGAGTTTGTTTTTTTTTCTCTCTATTTTTCCCTCCTCTGTTTATTACAGGGACCACAACAGCTCTGATTTTCATCTTCTGCATTTTTCATGGACAGTCAACATAATAACTTTTAGAGCTGCATATCATGATTGTGAAAAAGCATGTGCTAATATTTGCATTGGTAATACATCAAACCACCCTGCTATCTGGGCTTTACAAATCTGGGGTTAGATTAAAGCCAGCTGTGTTAAACTACACCAGCAGAGGAAAAAAAGAAAAAAAAAAAAAGAGAGAGAGAGAGAGAGAGAGAGATTAAAGAGTCATTTATTTCTTCTTTTTAAGTATTCTTTCAGCCATTTCACTAAAAGCTGCAATACCTTCACTCCTTAGAGCAGGAGATTAAAATGTGGAGGAAAGTGGGAGAGGAAGGAAGTGATCTTTGTGGCAAGTCTATATTTTAGTTGTGCCAGAGACAAATTACTTAAATTTTCCCAACCTATAAGTCTCTGCGAGTTTCCAGCGAGAACAGACTCAATATATATTTCTTAGTCTCTGGTATCATTACAGTCTGAGTAATGAGTTAAGTCAATAAAGAGGGGGGGGGGAGGTGGCTTGGAGGCACTGGCTTGGAGAATTCCCCCTCATCAGTCAGAGAAACCACAGTGATAGAGACAAGAGAAATATTATTAGAGCGGGTAAATTCCAGTATTAACAACTGGATTTTCTAACTACCACAAAGCTCTGTGAGGTGCTGGACAATTTACCCAGACTCAGAGGTCCCTCGCAGTTGGAAACTGCTGCACCTGATTCGCAGGAACAGTGGGCACACACAGATAAAGGATGCACCACATTGCCACCAAACATCCTTGCATTTCTGGGCATTGGGCCATTAAAAAGGTAAAAAGTGAGACATTTTGATCCCACATCATGCTTACATTAAACATCTAAGGAGTAACTAACCTTTGCAAGGAACCAGCCAGCAGAGCCACCCTTGTTATTATGGCCTATATTAATTTTTCTTAACCTTCCCAAATTTGGAGCATCAAGTGTGAACTTGTCCTCTGCTCCCTTTTCAAAGTTGTCTTTGTCATTGTCCAGTTTCCTCACACCTGAAAAATATAAAAATACAAAAGCTGAGGAGCTGTTGGCACAAGTGTGATTTTTAACCGAAGAAATGTTTAGAAATGCCACTGCTGACTGAATCAAATATTCTCCAGGTACCAGATCTCTCTCAGGATCCAAGGTAAAGGCAGAGGACTTTATATTCTAATAAAAAGGCACCTTTCCTTGAGCACAGAAAAGACAAGGATTTTCACTCTAATGTCACAGTTATTTACAGCTTTCAGAGTTTTCAGAAATGTATATCCAGATGGCTCTTGCATCTTTTTTTTTTTTTTTCTTTTCTTTCATTTTTTTTCCCTACCACCACATTTTCCTTTTATATTTTTAATGTCTTTTAAAATCTCCAAACTGTTTAAAAGAGGCTTGTTCACATGCAGCAGATTTTGACATTTCAGGACGCAGGATTCTTCACCACATCACACAGGAAGGATTTATTTTCAAATTAAGTCCTGACCAGGGGCATTGGCTTTTCCAGATCTTGCAGGTGCTTATCGTTATGAAAAGAATTAAAGCACTGACCCGGGTTGCAACCAGCGCTGCTTCTGTGCTAGTGGCAAGAGGGTAGGACAGAGTCTGCCTGAGGCACCCGGCCAAATCTGTGCAGGAAAGGCATCAGAGGGCAATGCATCCCGCTTACCTTTGTAGGGGATGAATCATTTTCTAGAGGTGTTATTCCTCTGTGTAGATTTGACAGGGTGCCTGGACAACAGGCTGAGATTTGGACACCCACTTTCAAAAGTCTTTGGAGAGATCAGATGAATCCCCTTGTAAAAGTCTGGAGAATTAATCAAGAATGAGACCTCTCCGCTAGGTTTCATAATCTGCTCAAGGACACTTGGCAGGCATCATATCATTATTTCTTGACTTTGACAGGATATGTGAAGTACAGAAGAGAGGATATTTGCTAGCTGAGTCTCCAGGAATTTCCACCTGTTCTTCTCCATGGTGTGAGCCAGAGACTTTGGTCTGGGCACATCTTGTTAGTATTCGGGTAACAATATGTTATTTAAAAAAAATTTTTGAGTTCTTGGACCACTGTTGTAATATATTCTGTATTAAGGAGTAGCTACCACCATCAATTTAAAGCAAGCTAGTAAAAAATGTGGACAAATTATTTTTCTAAATGACCAGATAGGCTCAGCCACAACCTATGCCAACTGAAGGAAGAATGTTATCCTTCCAGGGTCAGAGAAAGGATGGAACATTTGACCAGAGAAGTTTTCCTCCTTGGAGACCTCCAAAAGGTGCCTGGATGTGGTCCTGGACACCCATCTCTGGATGGTGCTGCTTGTGCAAGGGGCTTAGACCAGATGACCTCCAGATGACTTCCATCCTCAGCCATTCTGTAATTCTGTGACGTTCAGCACACATTGCATGCACTGTAAATAACACATTGGTGTTGGGACCCCTGGTGGCCTGGTGCCACCACCTGGTGCCTATCACGCTGGTTCCTGCTGGTGGTGCATTTCTCAGGGTTTGGGATTTTTGGTGGAGGGTGACCACTGCCATGCTCACAGCCCCACAACAACTGCAGCCCTGCAGACCCAGCTTCCAGGAGCTGCGGATGTGAGAAACCCCAGCACTAACAACAGCATTTGTTGTGCCTTTCGCTCAGCCAGATTATTCTGCATTTGCCAGATTGCTGCTGTGCGTTGTTCAGATCGCAGGCCTGCAGAGCAGGAAAGAGTATTTTAGGAAACGATTTGCATTTGAATACCTGTGTCTCCTTTCTCACCGAAGATATTAATGAAGACATCCGCATCTGTTCCACTGCCGCTGACTTCACCCGTGAACACTCGGACCACGTATTTGTTGACTGCAAGGAGAGAGGCAGAAATCCCAACTCATTAATAGCTGAATGGTTAAAAAAAGTAATAGTACAAATCAATTCAGGCTGTGCTGTGCTATCTTGAGAGCACATCTGAACCACTGCTCCTGGATCCTTTACACTGACCCTCAAACCCTTTTTTCTCTTTTTCACAAGAGAAATAAAATCCACAGACAGAGACCCTGTCAATGACATTGTCTATGGACAGATATGCAGAGCTCTGGTACTTTGGGTGTTCACTGCCCATGGCAATAGACAGAGATCACTCAATTTCAAGCCCTGACACGGCCTTTTTTCCCCAAAAAGTTGAAATAGGTGAGAGGAAGGTGCAAATTTTGATGTTGATCCGTGGCCATTAAGTGACCTCAGACCTACACACAGTCATTGCTTTTTCAAAAACATCAGTGAATTACAGAGCCAGCCATCTGCTCCAGCTCAGACCTGACCCCTGTGGTCCAAATGCTGTCCTAGAGCTATTTTTGCAGCTCAGCTTGTATTAAGCCTGGCTGGTGACACCAAGTATTTTGAGGAAAGGTCAGTCACACTTCAGGAGCCCCAAAACCTTGAGGGCACCACCCTGCTACTCTGTCCAGTTAAAAATAAATAAATAAATAAATAAATAAATAAATAAATAAATAAATAAATAAATAAATAAATAAAGATCCTTTTCCATTTAGTGGAAAAGTATGAGTAAAGCCTAGTAGCTGTGACACTACATAGCTACATCATGTGTGGCACAAAGGAACACAAAAATGACACAGGTGAAACACACCACAAACATTTCTCACTCCCCATGTCAATGAGTTTGAGATGCAAGCTCTTCCAGGGATCAGGATGGGATTAACGTAGCTCAAAAGGACAGCAAGGGTTTGCTCTGCTTCTTCTAAAATCGATAAGAAAACTGCCATGGCCTTCAGTGTGACCATACGTGGGGCAAACTTGAGCAACTTTCAGAATCTACCACCAAGGTCTACCTTGCAAACTCCACCATGACACGCCTAGTACCATATCTTCTGTGCAGCTCCAGGGCTGGAGACAGGCAGCAAAACACAAAATAAAAATTACAGAGTAATGCAAAGTCTACGGTACATGCCCTGATCTATGCCCTCAGCAAAGCCTCTGTGACAGCCTGTGTTAGTGAGTCCTGGCTAGCTGAAACCGTGGGCTCTGTGCTCCACCACCTCCTCCCGTCCGACTCCTGGGCAATCTGCATGTGCAAAAGCGACAAGTGCACAAACCACATTACCCACATCTCCCCTGCAAAATAAACCTTTTTGCACCATGATCCAGGGTAAACGAATTTTTCCAGATGAAAAGTTAGTGGAGAAGCTTTTTTGTTTGGGCTTCCCAGTCAGCACCAGAAACCAGTTAATTCCCTCAGAAGTTATGGACCATCACAAACCCTGAGCTGCTACTCTCAGAGCGGGTCACCTGCCTCCTCCACCTTGATCAGTGTATAGTAAAATTATTCTAAAAGACAGCAGACACTTTGGTGCACATGCTCCCCTGAGGCAGAGGATGTGAGAGCAAACGTATGAGGAGAGGTTGTTGGACCATTCCCTGAATTATAAAGATGCGCTCAGCTCCCGGGGTGAGGAGAACAAGGACAGAGCCCAAAGAGAAGAGAAAATCACCTGTCATGGTTTAATGAATGTGCTCTGAAAAGGCTAAAAATCGAGCTGACATTCTTGGCGCCCCATCGCAAAACATGCCATTACAAATAAAATGATAATGATAAAAGTGCAATAAATACTAAATAACAAGAAAGAGGAGGGCAGAACCTCCTCTTTCAAGGGAGCAATGAGATAATATTTCTCTTTAACTCTTTTTCTCCAGTTTGAAGAGCTCTCACAACCTGCTGGAGATACACCAACACCAACAGATTTTGTTTGCGTTAGCCAAGGATAGGGACGCTGCAATTTACAGCTCCCATGTGGTTACTGAACTGCTCCAACTAAAAGTGACCCACTGTACACCGGGATCGTCAATCACAGACCACATTTTTCAAGAAGCTTTGCTCTGTGCACCTCCTCTAAATTATTTATTCTGGTGTCAGTGATTAATTTTCCACTCCGTTTTCCAGGGGCCAGAAGAGCCCGATAGGATAAAAGGATCCACAGAAGGGCAAGCGTCAGTGGCCAAGGTTAGATTACTCTTGTAGGATCAGGCTTTACGCCTCCAACGAATAGTCTGGAAGGATGCCTGAACACATGCAGCAAGGGGGACAGGTAGGGAGCAAGCTAACGAAGAGCAATCAGCAGCAGTGCCCAGAAACAGGGTAGGAAGGGCACCTTGAACAGCTTCTGCAGGAACAGAGCTGATCAGCAAGCAAAACCCTGGCAAAATTCTTGGCCCCATCTGATGCCTTGAAAAGGTTTTTAACATTGCTATATCTCAATTCTAAGACATACAATGTCATGACAACTGCAAGAGTTTCACTCTGCCCCCTTACAGATATTCATGGCATACACTTGGATGCCTCTCCTCCATGCTCCATACCTGCCCCTTTCAGCTCTAAGTGCAGGGCCAGGTTTAATTCCATCACATTCAGAGAACAAGCAGGATCAAGCTGAGCCATGCTGGATTTTTGCCATCACCCTCTCCCTCTCCGCAATCCAGGACTCAGTTACAGCAGAGGGAGCAGCACTTCACGCTGCTCAGGGGTCCTTCTGTGCTTCGTACATCAGCTCGTCTTGCAGAATTACATGGTGGAGATGCAAATTTAAACAGAAAGAGATGCTACATCTCAAAAAGGCAGGGAGGATTCAGCTGCTGGGAGCATGCAGAAAAAGGCTCTCATTGCACCCAGGCAGAGATCTGGCTGAAGTCAAGCACCCTCCATTTCAAGCATGGGTGGATGTCGTTCCCGACTCTGCAAGCCCTTAATCATGAATTATTTAAAACAGTAACATCATCTTTTCAAAAATACCCACTTGGCTTTTTTTAATCTCAATACATGGCTCCAAGTTCATCTGCAAAACAGAGATCAAGATGTTGCCTGGGTTTTTATTTTTTTTCCTGAATGCTTCTCCTAGCACCGGGAACATGCAAAATGCTAATGTAAGGCTGGTAAAAGCTGTGACTCCATCTAGCAGTGCAGGCTCGGCACGGCTCAGCAGTGCAGACACGGAGAGGAGAGCTTTCCTGGAACTGAAATTAGCAGCCTCAGAGGCACGAACCAAGAGAAAAACAGCTAACAAAAATGTAGCAGGAAGAGCATTAATTATTTTCTGCTGCCTTTCCTCTTCCCATCGCAACACACTATTGCAATTGTCCTGTATAGTTACAGCACCTTCCTTTTCTCTGCCATGGGTTGTCTGCTCAGTTATGGGCGATCCAGCTGCCCTGACACCTCTCATCCGACACACTGACATGCACAAAGCTGCCCTGAGAAAGCATTTGGAAACATTTCCAGGATGCCCTCCCAGGGAAGCAGGGGGGTGGCACTAACTGATACGACCTCATGGTATTAATTTAGCAGAGGTGTGATAGTCTGTTACTAACCAACTCAGACAGAGCTTCTAGCAGCTGTGTCTGAGTTGGTTAGTAAGAGGGAGGATGAACATTGCACCATGGACACCATTGCACCATCGCACACACAGGCTCTTTCCAGTGAGAGCTGAGTTATATTTTTGGGGAGAGCAGTGGAGCAGTGTTGCATTCCCGGCACTGTTCCTGGGGGGGAAGAGGTGCACCCTCCTGATGCACCTCCTACAGGCTGGTCCCATTGCCACCTCCACCCCAAGGAGACAGGGTGCAGCACTAACCCAGCGCCCTGCCCAGGATCTTTTTACCCAGCCCCACCACCCCAAAATGCCCTCATGCATCCTCACCCCTGCCTGCTGCAGTGGGAAACTCATGGAGGCATTGCAGCCAGACCCTTCCACCTGCAAGCTGCAGCTGGCTGCTCAGCCATGTGAGGTTCAGCTGTTAGTGCTGTTTATTTGGCAATACGATGTCGTGGTCAGCTGAAGCACCACAGGATGGAGTCACCTAAGGAAATCTTGTGGCTAAAATTATTTGGGGCACTAGATAAGGTGTTTACGCACAAACTGCTGAATTTGTATCAGCAGGAGAACCAGATTTAGGCAGGGAAACAAACTCAATCGTGCTTCATTACCGAGAGTTATCACCTCCTGTGGGGCACAGTGAATTCTCCGCTAGACATCTCTGCCTCCCTCCCTGGTGCATGACCTGCCGTGCAGCAGGTTAGCAGCACAGCATGCAACAACCAGGAAACGTCACAGCCTTCAGAAGCGACACACGCCGGGTTAAAAGCAGGGAACTGAGTCGTAGGCAGAGACAGATTCTTCTCATAAGGCAACTTTTAGCAATTATCCTTCTGTTTTCACAGCGCTCCCAAGGGTGGCAGTGTCTAAGATCCATCCTGCACTGCTCAGTGCCGAGCAGGCAGATTTCAGAGCAAAGAGGGGAGGGGAATGGATAGGAAAGAGGCAGCACTGATGTCCCTGAATTGCTGCTGCCAGAGAAATACATGCATGGCTAGTATGAAAAGCAAAAAGAATTGCTGCTCTGGGGAGAGGCAGGGGCTGGATCCATGGATAAGAAGGAGTTTCAACCTGAGCCCACCACAGCCTTTCTGCACGAGCTCAGGAAGGTGGTTGAATGTCCATATGCCTCAGTTCCTTGCTGTCAGATCGAGTCAGTCATTCCAGCCCACCCAAAACACTCTGGCAAAATCTCTCCGTGATGACTTGTCAAAATGGGAGCTCGTTTCTACCACTTCTGACAGCATATTCCTCGGTGACAGCTGGTCAGAGCAACCTTAAAGGTCAGACAGCCTATGGTTAGGCACGAAGCCTGTGGCTTCCCAAGATACTAGATTCAGAGCAAACATTTGAATTTCTCTCTCCTGACTGGGAAAGAGCCCATCTCCACCTCATAGATGCTCTTCTGGTGGAGATGCCTCACTGCATGGCCATCCAACACGGTGCTGCCTCAGGAGTTTATACAAACACTGCACAGAAAATTAGCCTAGCCCTAGTCATTACACCTCTCTCTACTACAGTAGCTGGGACCCTAGAGATAAGTGCACAGAGCAAGACGTAGTAGGAGCCTAAAGCAACCCCTCCAAGGCATGGCCCACTGCTGCATAAAGCAACCCCACACAGTTAAGATTTTTACCCCATCCAGCAAAAGGCTGAATTCAATGGATTGGTTTTGAGCTTGAGAATAATTAAACTGTCAGGAGTAATTGACAGCTATCTTTCTTAATGAGCTGCACCCTCGCTGGTGGTGAGCATCTTCCTAAACCAAGGGTTCAGACTGGAAATTACTTGCATGATTGGAGTGCAGGGATGCTGATGAAAGAGCTTTACACTGCTTTTTGGCCATCAACACCCCAACAAAAACATGGTGTTAGTGGAGAGAGATGCTAAGGA